TACTGTGGCCGACCGGCACGTCCCAACATCTGCAGCACATCCAAGGCGCTCAACTCCACCCAGCGGCCCTTCTCCGGATTGTACACTTGTGTGCCCTTGATGATGACCGTGTGGGCGGGCAAATTCACACCCCARGCCAAGGTGGCCGTCGACACCAGCACCTGAATATGCCGATCAGCAAAGAGATCCTCAACTAGCGTACGATCCACGCGCGTCATGCCAGCATGATGTATGGCAAAACCATATGGCAGCAATTCCTTTAGCTCTGTATTCTTCACCTGCTCCGCCTCGGTACGCAGCACTTCCATGCTGGCCGAGCCCTCGCGCAGAAAACTGCCCAGCGTGTCCTGCTCGAGGCACATGTCGCGCACTGCACGCGCCGTCTTGCCCGTCTCTTTGCGGGAGTGCACAAAGACTAGCACCTGGTTGCGACCAGCATGCTCCATGGTCTTTTCATACACGATCTCGTTCATGACCTGTGTGGAAATAAGARATYATTATATTAACTGGAATTCTATTTTTTTTATAGAGTTTGACACGCACCTGGAATCGCTTCAAAGCCTTCTTCTCGGTCACACCAATATACTGTTGCTCCAGCGCCACCGGTCGATAGCTGTTGTCGAAATAGAAGAGACCCTTGTCGGGCTTCACACGCAGAAATGTGGCCACGTCCTGGTAGTTGGGCAGCGTGGCAGACAGACCAACCAGACGCACATCCTCCTGAGTGGTCTCAATGTTGCGTATGGTACGTGCCACGAGCGCCTCAAGCACCGGTCCACGCTCGTCGTGCAACAAATGGATCTCATCAATGATGACCAAACGCACCAGGCTCACAAATGTCCGCTCGCCACCCTTGCGTGTGATGATATCCCACTTCTCAGGTGTGCACACAATCACCTGTGTTGCGGCAATTTGCTCTCGCGTTAGCTGATGATCACCCGTCAACTCAGAGACAGTCAGATTGTAGCAGGCCAGACGGCGTCCGAAGTTTCCTACCATTTCCTGTACCAGAGATTTCATGGGTGCCACATAGATGATTTTGAAGTCTTGTGCATTGATGGTTCCATCCTCGTTTATATGCTTGCCAATCTCCCGCATCATTGTGAGTAAGGCGACATTCGTTTTACCTGCACCAGTAGGGGCACAAAGCAGCATATTCTCATCGCTGTCCAAAGCGGCTTTGTAGAGCCGGCTCTGAATGCGATTCAAGGTCTTGAAGCCATCGAACACTGGCTGAACATACTTGGGCAATTTGTCAATCGGCTGCAGCTCCTCGTCCGCCTCGAAGGGAACTTGCTTGAGAGCGGGCACATGCACCTCCTCGTATCCCTTGCGCTGCTTGCGATAACTGCCGTCGGGCAGCTGGCAACGCTTGTTGGCCATGAAATGCGAGCCCTGGGTAAAGGCTAGCTCATCCAGTTCCAGCAGTTGGCGTACACCAGGCACTTGACCAGCAGCAGCGGCTCCACCATCGTCAGCATCGCCCTTGCCACGCTTGTTGGCTCGCGCATCCGCCTCCTCCTGCTCATCGGCCTTGCCAGTGTCCAGCTGACGCAATATTTTTGCCAGCGCCGTATTGCCACGCATCTTTTCCCGTATGCGCTGCCTCTCGCTATCTGTTTGTGCGGACGCTAACATGGTACAGTAGAGTATCATCTGACGATTCAATTTCAGTTGCTTAATGAAGTCAAAGCAATCGTAGCCCAGCAGCAGAACCAACTGATTCTCACAGTCGCGTTCATCGGCGGCATCCTTTAGTATCTTGAGGACATCGGCAGCTTTGCTCTGGGAAACCATCGCATCCTTGTAGTACTTGCTGAGGCAGCGCTGCAGCCAGTAGGCATCAATGTCCAATGGATGCAGCGAACGATCCTTCTTTACATTACTTGCAGCCTCYTCGCTGGCGAGCTGTAAATTAAAATAATAAATGTATGTTTTAATATAAGCATAATTAATGCTACTTACATTTTCGGCRTGCAGTGTATGATCAATGCGCGCTTCTTCGCCCTCATCCTGTGCATCGTCGTCACGTATCTCGCCATACATATCATTGTCACTCTCCTCTTCAGACTCCTCGAACTGTACATTAATGCCGTAAGTATCATCAATTTGCTCATCATTATTGGTAGCTGCCGTCAGAGCATTCACTGCATCGCTGCCGAAGTCGGTGATTTTCTTGCCAAGATTCACGAGCAGGGCAAAGCGTTCATCTGTCACTTCACCTAGCAAACTGTCCACCTCCCGTTTGCGATCGCGATCTTTAAGCCGCTCATTYTTAAGCACAGCCAAAATTTCATCTGCAGCGCCACATAAAATGTCGCGTGGCTGATCKCCCARTGCCTCCTGTATGAAACTCAATAGCACCTCGTAGGTCTGACGAGTCTCCTGCGTCTTTGGGCGATAGACAATGCCTACCATTTCATCAATACCCTCTGATAGCAATGTGGCGCCCTTCATGCGCTCAAAATCGTACTGCGCCTCGTCACGCTTTTGACGCTTGACTTTGCGCTCCTCCGTTTTTTCCGGCTTTGTACGCTGATAGCGATCACCCATGCGAGTGCCATCCAATTTGCC